AGGGAGGGTCGTTTTGATGTTTAGAAGATAAAAAAAGAGATTGGGTAGATGGGGTGTTATATCAAATTTGGGGACTTTGCCTCTAAGAAATTTGTAGTTTCAGCCTATCTACCCCTGGTCCCTGAAGGGGATGGGTTGAAAACCAGGGGGAGTTAAAGGGGAGGGAGATGAAATGCAAGAACTGCTGGTCTGTCTGTTCCTGGCTAATTTGAACCAGACCCCCAGGGAATGGGAATGGGAGGACATTCCCACCTGGAATTCAGATTTTGTGTTTAATGCAGCTAAAATTAAAGACTTAGTAACAGATATTAGAAGGATTTAGTAACAGCTCCGGTATCCTGCAATGAAATTCTAAAGCATGCACCGTCTCTGCTTCTCTTCTGTCAATTCCAGTATGCTTTCTTTTGGCATCTCTCATGGATCTTGCAAACTGTGTTGACAAAAAGCAATGGGAGATTGTTTCTTGCCCGAGTCTTTATATTCAGACTATAGCTGCTTCCTCTTTCCTACTCACATTTTCCCATATGGTGACTTTGGAAAATTTCTCTCCAATTTTGTTGGGAAGTGCAGGAAACTCTCGTTGGTAGAGGGTTGCCTATTACTCTCTCTAATTCTGCTGCTCACATCTGGAAAGGATCTGGCTTGGAAAGGGGAGACTCGCTCTGAGCTCAGTGTGTGTAACTGACATGGCATGAGCCGAGGGAGCCTGTGGGGGCAAGAGAAATGCTCTTCTCCATTCATCCGATTTCTGACAGCAAAGGTGAGTTTTTCAGCACTTCATTAAATGCTGGGTTGTCAGACAATGTCCGGCAGCTCCTGCCTTTCAGCTGCAGCTTTTAGAAAGGATATTCAATGTAAGTAACAAATTCAGTTAACCTGTTGATACTGAAGGAGAGGATGTTTTTCCATCTGTATGTGTGTGTCCTGTGAGAATGTGTGTGGAGAATAATAGACACAGAGATGAGATATTTTGAATATGATTCTGTTGTCTATTGAGGTAGCTGTAATCACTGAGAAGCATACGGTAACTCCTAAAACTTCAGCTGCTTCTTGAGACTGTGCCTTTTGTAGCACCCTGCCTCTGTTGCTGTGTGGCAGCAAAGTGCAGAAATCAGTGGTGGTTCCGTCTGGACTCAGAAGGATGCAACCACAGAAACCCCTGAACTGGTTTCAGTGTAACTTCAGTCTTCGGATGGAAGGAACTGATCCAAAGCCCACTGACAGCAAGGGAAGAGGGACACTTTCTAGTGGGTTTTCAGCTACTTCTTTAATAAGGTTTCTTAATCAGGCTTTGGATCAGGCTCATGGGAATGAGTTTAAATAGAGTGAGTTACTTCAGACTTTGAACTAAAAGAAAATCAAAATCATGCCTGGTTTTACTGCCTGCACTCCAGATGCAAGCAGATGTTTCTGTATCCAAAGTGTCTCCCTGTGGCACCGGAGCAGCATTCACTTCAAAGGCATTGTAGCAGAAGCATGCATATTGAAGACAACAGGGTGAGACTGCCTCAGAAATTTTAGTGTGCAATAGATACAATATTTCATGTTATTTTTTTAAACATCTTTTCAGCTATATATGTGGAAAAGTCAGTGTGTTGCAAATCTATAGAGCTCAATATCAACCATGATGTAACTGTGTGCTATGGGAACAGTGCTGGTATTGTTACAGCAGGGCTGGTTGTGACCTGCATTTAAGAAGTTTTTGGTTTCTTTTGTAAGTAGCTATAAGGGTAATCTGATATATAGGAAAAGTACTTTGTTAGGGATCTGATTTATCATACTTTCTGAGATAATTTATTTTCTCTAAGATTTCTGAAATACTTTCTGAGATTAGGTAACCAAATACTAAGGATTTTACAAATCCTCTGTTGGCATATTCATATGGCCAATTTTGATCTCACTATTAATATCTAGCTGCCGTATAAGGAACACCATCTGATCTCTGGAATGCTTTATAAAGGAGATTAATTTCATTATATTCAGCTTTCAGAGATATGGAAGCTGTGGAATAGTGGAGCAGGGGGAAGAGGGATCAAGCAAAGAATGTTAAATGCTTAAAATCACCCCACATGTTGGTAGCAAAGACCAGGACCAAAGCAAAACCATCCATGTCTCGGGATGCTCTGTCCTATAGTCCCACCTTCTCCCATTTCTTCAAGTGTAAGTCAGCATTTAAAGAAATTATTTAAGAGTTTTGTGACTGCGACTGAGAGCAGGATCTCTCCAATGCTTCCCAAGCATCCAAAGTCTGTGAGAGTCTCAGAGACTAAGTTTCAGCTGGTGCAAAGCAGCAAAGCCCCGCGGATGTAGACAGAGATGTGCCAGTTCTGACTGCTGCCAGCCTGGCTCTGGGAAGTTCTTCTTTCCGATGCAAAGAAGGAACCTGGGCTGGCAGAGTTGAACAGAGTACTTATTTCGTATTAAGGTCATGAATCCAGTGTGCTTTTTCACTTTAAAAGATCAGTGTAAGTAAGAATTTCTCATCACTGTCGAATATTTCGGCGAAGAATAGCTGAAAGGATAAAAGACAAGCCATTACCAGCCCTTACTGCAAATCCTTACGTATGAAATCTGAGAAGGGCAACAAATGAGACCGAGGGGGCTGGATTATGGCCAGCTGGCCAGGCCAGTAGATACTCAACTTCTGTTTGAATTATTTTAACCTGCTGCCAGAAAGATAAAAGCTGAACATTAGCCAGGCCTCTCAGGTTCAGATCAGCACTGTCCAAAATCAATAGGAAGCCCGTTTTGTTTTCAGTAGCCACGAGATTTTGTTGTCCGATGCCCGTGAGGCAGCCCCTCCGAGAAGTGTCCTGGCAGCCCTTCCAGCCAACCTTGTTCGCATGAACGACAGGAGTTTCTTCCCGATACAAAACTCCGAGCAACCATACGACCAGGAGTTGCATAGAAGCAACATTGCATAGCCTCCTCTGTAAATCTCCGGGATCATCTGGCATTTCTCAATGTGAAAAAAGCAATAAACAACCTCAGGAG